ACATTCATTCAACCTTAATGCTTTCTGGAAAGCAGTTTTGTATTTATCATCGCTGTCTTCGAGTGTGCTGTAAGTTACGATTATCGTACAGTTTCATGAATCGCAATACTCTAACGGATGTTAATTGAACACAGTTTTTGATTGTACAACAGTGTATGTATGGTGAATACAATAGGAAACAGGACGAACGTTTCTGTCGTACATCTGTGCGCACAGTATGTACTTCTATCGTGATTAAAAAATTTTGATTTTAAAAAATGATATTAATAAGTTTGAATTTAAGTTTAGTTATATCTTTAAATACATAAGAGTACAATTTATATATTTCTTAATTGAATTATACATTTATAGGTAGATCTATCAGATACAGGTTGTAAAGTTATATAAAGTGGTAATTAAGAGTGTTAAAAATACAACATCACGTAAACTCCCTTAACCCGTCCCGAACACCACCAGGCCTTCCTGAAACTCGTTGTCACGAAATCGTCTGAGTCGAAATTCTGTTTGACTCGAAGTAATTTTTCAGTCTCTTCATTTCTAAAGGGAAAAAAGTCCTTTCGTTGTTTCAAATTTTGATTTTAGTCAAAACATCGGCACGTCTTCTGATGTGATCAGTCAATACATACACAGAATAGAAAGTCACCATCCTGTAGCAGTGACTTACCTGTACGTTAAACAAGTAGCCCGTGATTACAGGACATGAACATATCTAGTTTGGTTGCGTGCATCTTGCTTAGTCAGTAAGGGTAGTGCACACGTGTGCGGGACGACACGACATGAGTACCAATGTAGGCTATTTGATTGGTGTTGTTATTACATGTTTAGTTGTTTGAATGAATAAACAATAAAATAAGAAAGTAGAAATATATATAATAGATTAAATTACGTTGTGTGTACCATGATGTGTCCTTTTTAAACTACGTTGTGTGTACTATGATGTGTCCTATTAAATTACGTTGTGTGTACCATGATGTGTCCTATTAAACTACGTTGTGTGTACCATGATGTGTCCCATTAAATTACGTTGTGTGTACCATGATGTGTCCTATTAAATTACGTTGTGTGTACCATGATGTGTCCCATTAAATTACGTTGTGTGTACCATGACGTGTCCTATTAAATTACGTTGTGTGTACCATGATGTGTCCTATTAAATTACGTTGTGTGTACCATGATGTGTCCCATTAAATTACGTTGTGTGTACCATGATGTGTCCCATTAAATTACGTTGTGTGTACCATGACGTGTCCTATTAAATTACGTTGTGTGTACCATGATGTGTCCTATTAAATTACGTTGTGTGTACCATGATGTGTCCTATTAAATTACGTTGTGTGTACCATGATGTGTCCTATTAAATTACGTTGTGTGTACCATGATGTGTCCTATGTGCTATTGCAGCTCGACTTCGTTCGACCGTAATCAACTTCAGGAAACTAATCACGTCAACTTGGTTAGGACGCTTTGTTTGGGTCGAATTTCCGTTTTCCCTGGAATTTCGAGAATTTCGTCAAAATACACCTACATACAATATTTCATGGAAATATTACGATACATTAATTTCGACCAATCAGAATTCAGAAAACATTTAGATATTTAGAGGTCAAAAGGTAGCGTTTTTTTTTTTTTTTTTTGAAATATGAAGTTAATGCTGGAATAGTGATGAGTTTCCCGTAATCATCTCACATACAAGTTTTCATGAAAATTAAATAAATTTGAGACCAATTAGAAGCAAACGGACAATGACAATAATTCCCCCAATTTTGTCGCGGTGACCTAATGATAACTGGCAAGAAATGGAAAATAACAATGCATCCCCCCAACACCCTCTCCGCTGGGTTTGATATAAATAAATAATTATTTATATAATATAAAATAAAATACAAGTCTAGGTAATGGCCAAATAAATGCTTACTTCAGATCTAAGTATCAAACTATAAATATATCAGTCATTTGGGGTATGTCATTTCTTCTCTCATATATTTGCGTGTAATCTTCGTGATTGAGCGGAATTAATTTTATAGTGCTATCTGACTGAAGTGTACTGCCGAAAGCCCCTATCAGGACACAATATATTTACAACGGGCAAACGAGTCGTTACACAACCACATTACTGTATTATTATCGGGAGATAGTAACTAACATTTAAAGTTTTTGGTCTCGGCGATGGGAAAAAGCCAAAAGTCTTCCTCACAGGGTCGAACCCTCTACCAAAGGTCAAAAATGAACTGGTGTGAATTGGATTAAAGTTAATTAGTTGACAAAAATTCGATACCTTAGTCTAGTGTGCAAAACACTGCGTCTTTTGTCAGTGGCAACGAACAAAAGTCAATATGCTTCCTGTTTAAAAAAAAAATTTTAGATAAAACCATTTCCAAATGTGACTGCAGTAACAGTCCAAACCAAAACCCAGCTTATTATGAAATTAACATGTTCATTAAATGCTATTCCATGAAATTGCGACTAGTTATACATATATCTCTAAGAAGTCACAAGTCTACATCATACTTACCTGTAAGAACCATTTCAATCATGCTGACTCTGCCACGTTGAAACATTAACTTATAAAAGAAATGAAGACAAAATTCGTTTCGTTCAGAATCAGTATATTGATTGCCTTGCTCATTTATGTATCATCAAACTTATGTTCTATGTAAAATGTATATAATAAGTACAAACCATAAAAACATATATTATTCAAATATTCGTCGACAACACACGTGTATATAGTTTGGTACGTGCTTAAATGTCCATGACTGTTAAAGGACATAAAGAGGCAATAATCGATTATTATCCAACTAGTGATAATGGTGTTAGGGTTGGGTTTTCTCCTTGTCTGTCAGGTCCTTATGGGGTTTTCCTACTTGCATCATACAGACACCTGATATTTTTATTTTGCGTTTGTAAAATTAAGTGACTTACAAATCGTTCCCTTTTTTACATGTTTTTCAGCAATTTGTTAGAATAATGAGATTTCTGTGTAGAATCTGATAATTAAGTGACAGCTCCAGTCTTGCGCTTTGATTAGGTCATATGTACTGTCATCATTATATGATCGTAAGAGGCGACTAACCAGGTACATGAATTTTGATATTATCTCTCTTTTCTAAAGGTCCTTTTTATCCTAATATCTAAGTAGACGCCTGTTACCTTAAGTTTATGGTTCACTTTTGTGAGGAAGGCTTTAGACACTACACCCAACTTAACGCTCAACATTATAGTAATGTAGTTACTTTTCCACCCGTTGTCAGTATATGCCTGGGAAACGAGAAAAATAATATTCCTATTTATGTCGCTTCCGTTGGGCCCGAGACTAGGGACCAAAAAGAGGAAAAACAACATTTATTTCTTTTTATGTCCAAATTTCGTTTAAACTGTTTTAGATGAAGGGAACTCAATTTTGTATAAAAGGTAAGAACCTCGGTCTCATGGGAACAAAGGGAAGGTACCGAATATAGGAAAAATGCAAATTCTCTGAAATCCTACATCAGCAGGAATGTCGTGAATCTGTTCAATTCGGTATGAAGCATACTTGGATGAAGTGTAAACGGAGAGTTAGACCCCACGGCAGGAGTGATAGGCCCAGTAGGAGGAAATCTAATATTTTTTTATCCTTTAACTACAGGAATGTCAATATTCTGTCCAAATTTGGACTTAAACATCATAGGGTTAAAGAGAGTCAAATTTGCATAAATGGTAGATCTCGGCCCCAGAAGCATGAGGGGCGGGGCCAAATAGAGAATATTTCTTTTAAATATTTTTTCCGTTTATAAACGATGGGTATCGGCCCCGTGAAATAGGGAGGTCCGTTGGGGTATTGAGTAAACTCCTTCTTCGGTAAGAGTGACAGGATAATGCCCCAATTTCGTCTGAAGCAATCTTGGGGAAAGATACTTGTAGTCATGGTTTTGCTGACTCCCTGGAAACAGAGGATGTGGTTGGGGCCAATGGAGATATAGCAATAAACATTTACTTTATTTTACAAGACGGTACATCTTTTTGAATGCTACAACATTACTTGCTCACATCACGATACGACTATAAAAAGAAAATTAATCAAAACATGGTTAATGCCAAAATCCGTATGGGATCGGTAAATGTTTTCACGTTAAAGATGCATGAAAAACAAACCCTTTACTGGTGTAGGTTTGAATATTATTAGTATTTCAGAAGTTTGGCCGAATCGTAATTAAAGGTTGCGCCACGGTTTTACGTGGAATAGTGATAAGTTGCTTTCCATCATTTGGTCTTTGGATCTTTGCCCTTCTTCTTGTTTTTGATTTTTATTATAAGAAAATTGACAATTTCGCTCCGTAATTTAAAATGGTTGTCTGTTGGCCATCTGTGTTTTTCGAACATTTTCAAAATCAGATTGGCAAAACTTGGGACTAATGGGGAGCTTCCTTACTAAATATTATAAAAAATATACCTAACATTTTTTAAAAAAAAATAGCAATAACATACTTTCACGGTAAAAAGTCAAGACAACTATCTATCAACAACCTTTTTCTGATCATCTTTAAAGTCAAACAAGGCACAACTTCGCACAAACGGGAACCTACAGATGAAATTTGAGAATGATAAATCCAGTACTTCTTAAGAAATTGCGATGACAAACTTCTATTGTTGAATTCCATGACGGCGTCTATCAGCCACTTTGTTTTTCTGATCACATCCACTAAAAAGATAGTCAAAATCTAGGGGCACTTAGCTATGAAATTTGAAAAAGTCATTTATTACTTCTCTACAAATGCTGATAACAAAATTTCGTGGTCAGAATCCAGGGACCATGCAATTGGAAATTCGTCTAGTACTTCTCAATAGATAGTCATAACAATTGTTTGCGGACGGACGTACTAAGGACGTATGACGATTTGAATAACCTTCCATAGGATGACACTTGGCTTAAAAACAAGACAAAACGGAAAAAATGAATTGCTGGTTTTGTGACTGTTTATGCCATGCTCTTTTCCATAGTGTTTCCTATGGCTAGTTCATGACTACATGCAGGTGGCGAGGTTACTGTGTCGTTCTGGATGGTTGTTCGTGTATACGGTTGTTAATGCATTATACAATTGCACGTCCTTTGTATATAAATAGTATCGGGAATCCTGTTCATTTGTGCAGAAGCCGCTGTGTCCACATCTGTAAATTGAAACAATAGAAACATCACGATTTTTGTGCAAGATGTCGGTAACTGACATAATCGCACAAAAATTAAGAAAAATATAGATTGGCAGATATATTTTCACGGTGTTTATAATTAGATCGGCTTTCACGTGTAATATGAAGTTGGAAGTGTCACATTGTTAATTTTCATCATTATCATTTCAGAGCGTTGCATTACTTTCTCTAACCTAGATTCACATGGTGGGTGTCGTCAAGGAAACAGAAGACGCTTACTCTTCAGGAATACTTGTGCTTTTCAAGAGTTTCCGTCTATATCTTTCTTTAATTCATATTTTACTTTAGTTTCATTGAATTTGAATTAAAACTGCGATATCACCAGTATTTTACTCTTTTTTTTCTACCGTATTAATTCTTTTCAAAAACAAATCATTGTTATTAACAATTCAATCACCTTAGGATCATTATAAACGTGCGTCAAATAAATCAGATTCGGAGAAAATCTTAATATTTTGTTTTTCCTTTTGATTCCACAAGAACTCGTTTATCATACGGCTGATTTGATAAATGGAAATCTTGTTATTAAAATAGACTTTCATTGTTTTATTCCTATTATCGAGATACTTGCGTGTTCATTCCACCAGTGGTATATGTGAGTTTTTCAACGTTAAAGTAGACTTGAGAAGACTCCGCCCAATACTCTTCCTCTGTTGACATGGCATAAGCACTGAGATCCCATATCCGGTTAGATCTAGCGTGGTTATAGGCCGCCGTAATCTTTGAGGTTACATGAGTAATGTCATCGACAAAATTGATTTCAATTGTAAGAAGGGCAAGCAATTAAAATGGTGGACAACTATGTTTTTATTTTTTTAATTGCAGAAGAACAAAGACCATCTATCTGGAATTTCTACTTCTGCAATTTGACTAGATTTTAACAATTTTTTAAAGCGGGGTTAATGTGAAATGAACAAAATTAATTAACGACAGTGTTTGGGGAGAGGAATGACGGAGTTGGTGTCGAGTGACTTGTGCAACAGCAGCTCCCTTTAACGTGATACTGATTAAAACAGGAGATAAGGCGGCTATGGAAAAATGCCATTATTGTTACTTTCAATGTTCGTTTTTAACTGTAAATCTATAATTATAGATAGTTATAGATGAATGAAAAAACACCCATTAACACACGGAAGACTTGTGTCAATATAACACAGTTAAGGCGTTAAGGGGTATAATGGAGTACGGCAAAAGTCGAAATTGATTTTGGATAAGTGTCAAAATTGCTTCTGTAAAACAAAAACAGGAATATTTTTGGTGTGATTTTGAACCAATATGATTATACGTTGCATACCTTAATATCATCAATAAAAGGGGAAAACGTTTCTTTATTATTTCCATTGTTAAATTATCCAGATACGTACTATGATTGAAGTTACATTTCTAACCAATTAAGATACAATAGAGGGATCTTAAACACCATAATACCATAATCTTTATTCATTAATTATGAATGGTAGATATCACGATTAACACTTTAAAAATAAATTCGACTTCTTCAGACAGGGCAGAGTGAAACTCTCCATACAAGCAACCATGGTAGTTGCAACTCAACGATTGTATCTGCTTGGTATGTGTAAGATCTTTAGCAAGAAAAATTACTATGAATTGAGATTCAAGCCGATTGTTTAGTTGTTTCAACTTTACCGTGTAACTTCAATGAAGTTCTCTCGTTTCATGAGAATAGACCATATTCTACTGATAGACCGTGCTATTTACCGCTCAGAATATTGACAAGATTGGTCTCTTTTTAACATCTTCGTACGATATAAAAAGAAGGAAATCACTTATCTGATCGGATCTGTTCATTTTGCTTTTTTCTCCTAGCAAAAGTTCAGCTAGTAACCAAAGGGAACCTCAATTTGAAATTCGAAAAGGCCGATCAATTTGATATATCTAAAACAAAAGCAGGTTTTACTTCCGTGCAGAGATAGGAACCAATGTTACATTGCATAAGATCACACATTAAGGCCATCTGTTTATAACGTACCTGTGATTTGATAGAAGATGGTATACCATAAAGTTTAACTGTGTGGGCGAATTCATGTACGAGCATGTTAGCCTGGTGACGATAAGGGTCGTTAGAATCACATAAGACATTATCGTCTACCACACATCCCACTGCGCCACCAGTTCCAGCCAGACTTGCGTATTTACGCCCATCGAAAGTACAAGTATGCGCGCAACTTCCTGAACAGGATCCTTTTTAATAAGAAAAGAACACCTCATCACTATTTGTATTCACACTTGCACTGCCATGCCAGTTATATATACTTACCAAAAAAGGATATGCTATAAGTGAAATCGCGCGTGACCGTTAAATCATTGTATGCGTAACTGTCTAAATGACTGTTCCATTTGATTGATTACGTCGTCGATAACAAATAATTTATTCAAGTTTTGATATAGTTATGATTTGCAAAAGGCAACGACAAGTTTAGGAAATGTAATTAAAAATAATGAACTGTACTGTTAACTACCGACAAAGCTGTCATTTATGACAACCATATATGCCATAACAACCATAACGAAAAATAGGAACTAACCTGAACTGGCAGTATCCAGTTAATCATGATTTTCTCCAATCGAAAAATTAAGGTTATATGTACATGTGCTTTTCTTGAAATTAAGTTGACCCTTGCGATTACTAGGATGTATAGCTTGAGTACACCTAACAACCAGATATACAGTGTTGTAAATTCCACCGGCTTGTGAAAATCTAATGCATAACAATGTACATTTTATAAGCTAATCACTTCTCATATTTGAAATGTAAGCTCTTTGTACATATGCTGTATATGTTGCTATGGAGAGAATATATTGTTGTTACCATGTCCAATCCGTCCGTCCTGGCCCATCCTGAATCAATGTATATTCATTAAGATTATCTTAACAAATTTGGTTCAGTACCTGGTCCTTTTTTGTTTCTTTAGAATGTGACATTTGTGTTTTATGTAGTTTCTTGTTTTGCATGCTTTTAATAAACACTGTTTAGTGGCAATTAAAAAGTATTACTATTAGTATTCGTTGTATCGATTTCTTTGATATTCAAATTATCTGCGGCTTAAAATGATTTTAACAAACCTCGGCAAGCTGTTGTGTCTCTGAGACTAGAATATTCTGGGAACACTGTCAGAGTATCAGCGCGGGTGAACACTCCTACTTTGGCGTTCCTGGCTAGCGTTGAGAAGATAGAAGAAGACATGTACATAGTCATTCGACTGGCAATTGTTGCAGCCTGAAAATAAAAATGAATTAACATTAACACATTATTGTTTCCTTTAGACAAACTTCTGAATAAAACTGTGTCTTAGAACAGCACTATAAAGCACCAATAATGTAAATTGTAATACCAGATTGAAACAAGTATCTTTTTCTGCCTTCCTAGACTACACTTCACAACTGAGCGTTCTGTCCCTATGAGAAAGGTTTCCCATTCTTTGCACTGGTCAAGACTTAGATTATGGCGGTTACTGCTTCCAGCTTAACACTAGACATCTTGGAATTATACTCTCCGGTCTGTTTATTGTCAGTATACTGTGTACAAACATGGTGGAAGGCGGGGTGACTCTTGCAGTTTACTTCAAAATGGAAGCATTATAAAGCCAGGATCAAATCCGTCCTAACACAAGAAAGCTTACATAGATTCACGCAGCAATATAAATCCAAATTAAACAAGGAGCAGAAACAATAAACTGAATTACTTGAACTCAAAAATATATTCCTCTCCACGAAAATCTTTGTGCCTTGTTATTCACTTTTAAAAATCCAACAAAAGATCTATGTCAGTTCCATATTGCCCGTGTTTATAAGAGACTACTATTAAAAACGTCGACTTTCGTCATCAAATTAATGGGGAAGTTTTACAGACGTCATAGATATGTCATTGAGAAATATTCTATTTCTTTTTGCGATATGAAGTTGTATGTATTTGATGCATAGTTTATAAATAACTCAATTTTGATATATCAGGCGATTTTAAAACAACATCAAGTACATGTGTATATTCGGAACCGTGCTACTATTCGCCTGTAATATCATACAGGTGTGAATTCTAAATTATGCCGCTGTAGGATAAACTTGTGTAGTCCCTAAAATATTTTCAAGCTTTACCTTAACTAATAAACATGGTTGGTTTTTATATATCCGAGTTGAACGTTTTCTCGATATTAAATGTTGTCAGCGATCATATGATAACACATGAAGGGAACAATAGGTGGTAATTTAGAATGTGACCTTACCGATATAACCCTGAATTATTAATGACACAACTAGAAACTTTGTCATTCTTTTATATGTTGCATCATTTTTTACCTCTCAGGAACTATTATCCAATGTTCTTATTTTAAATTAAACTTGCTTTCTGTTTGTATATTTATTTTTAAACAGGTACCAAACAGTTGAATAAAGTTCAAAGAATAAAAAAGTACTTTGTGATGTCCTCCTTCGGGAGACTATTATTGAATATCATTCATCCATATGCATTCATGGTAAGTACATTCTAACATGCTATGATATGATATGATCTGTGTTATGTGCTTGTATTGATGCAAGAAGAATGATGTTTCTTTTATCAATTGAATATTTCTTAATATTAAAATATGATAAAATATGTGTTTCTGGAATTTCCTTATCAACTTACACACATATTCTATAACTATAGAAAAGTCCTAGAAAGGAGTTGATATCAAGCTTTCAAGAAAGGCGATATCATCTGGATGGCTTATATATGTTCTCTCAACCAGGAAGACCAAATCGTCCTAACTTACTGGGCTAAACATGATAGTAATGATAGTAATGTATACAATGAAAGCGTAGACATACGACACGCTTGATTCTCTCGCACTTCACATGTGTATCCCCAAACGTTTTTACTAACGCGGCGCATTTGTCATTCCCAAGAAAACTAGAAAAAGAAAGCTCGCGGTCGGCTTTGATTTTATAAGCGGCACCGCTGCATTTTAACAGTAGGGTCACGTCTTCACTTTATATCCGTTTTCGATGAAACAGAAGACGATTACCCTTCTTAAACACCTGATGTTTTTTTCATTTTTCATATAAATCGTTTGTTTTGTTGATAATTTGATTGCAGTGATTAATCACCCCTGTGTTATGTTGACAGATCTATCACAACCTATTACAACAAAGTAGGCTGTGCCAATTGAGCCGATACTCTGACGAAGGGATGAATGAAATACAGCTTTACCCTCTGATGTGCTCCTTCACTGACAGATGTTGTTGCCTCTATGTCCAGCCATGATCCCGACCCTCGACTTCCCCGAATCGATCCGCCGAATCCTACATACTTGTGCTTGAATGATGCGCGCGTTTGATGGTGTACACTGTCGTTGTAAGGGATTAGTTTCTGAATAAACTCAAATCCGTCTTCCCTTTTAAAAAACAAAAATTCGTAAACACGACTTAAATACAATACGATTTTATGCAAAAATACTGCGACAGTTGTCATTTTTGAGGTGTTATTTTTTTTATTTTATAGGGGAGACGGGAAAATAGTCACATCGAAAATATAATCCTCAGAGAAAAAAAATAATAAGGCAATTCATGGTTTCCGATCAGAAATCATCAATCTGTCTCAAAGATTTGTCGATTGAAAGTTTATGATTATTTCTGGTAAAATGAATACGTGTGGTTACGCTACCCAGTGCTAGTTTTACACTATATTAATTCAATTTCCTTAAAAAAAACATCAGAGATAGAACATGCATTTGTTATACGGGGTTTTATGTTCTCATAGCAGCCAGGGCCGTATGGGGGATACCTGGAGTGGAAAATGATTATGTTATTCTTGAATCATATAAACTGTGTGACAATGGTATTCTGGCATCATATGAACTGTGTGACAATGGTATTCTGGCATCATATGAACTGAGTGACAATGGTATTCTGGCATCATATGAACTGTGTGACAATGGTATTCTGGCATCATATGAACTGAGTGACAATGGTATTCTGACATCATATGAACTGAGTGACAATGGTATTCTGACATCATATGAACTGTGTGACAATGGTATTCTGGCAGCATATGAACTGTGTGACAATGGTATTCTGGCAGCATATGAACTGAGTGACAATGGTATTCTGGCATCATATGAACTGTGTGACAATGGTATTCTGACATCATATGAACTGTGTGACAATGGTATTCTGGCAGCATATGAACTGTGTGACAATGGTATTCTGGCATCATATGAACTGTGTGACAATGGTATTCTGGCATCATATGAACTGTGTGACAACTTTGTTTGGATTAACTTACTTATACATAGATTTAAGTTTCATTTCGAGAGGTGTAGGTGGCGCAGCATCAGCAACTACAAGAACAAATGCAGCTAGATTAAAAATTCCTAGCGTTTTTATTTGTTTAGGGCTACAAATCTTCTCATCAGCAAAGACCATGGAGAGGGAGACTGATGCCCTGAACATGTAAAGATATAACAATAGATTATATAAACACGAAGATAAATACATATTTATCCCTGACAAGTTTCAGAACGACAAAACAGTATGATGCCGTTCGATACATAGTTTTCCTCTTCTGTATCTAGTTTTAAGTATGTATTGAATGGTGCTTGCGCATGCACATCTTATATTAACCTTAATATTTAAACGGTAACATTTATATCGAACAAGAACTGCAGCGTTGAAGATTCTGTATCATGAATGCAAACGTCAATCCTGGCACAATCTGACTTTATCGAAATGTCTGTCTTCCTATTGTCTCGCGGGACACGAGACTTAGATAAAAATGAAGCTGATCTATATCGATTCCTTTTCATATTAGACTTGGAATTACTGCTTTTCTATGCTATAAGTACAGTTCGCTTTGAACTTTGAAGTTATATTTATAAAAATAAAACCAGCACAATATACATCGCTGAAGCTTATCGACAGGTTAATACTGGCAATATTTACAATTCATGCGTGAAATGCGTCACCGAAATAATTGGTTTTATAAATAAATGATTTATATATTCTATGTTTTAGACTTACCCAAGATTAAAAGCAAAGAACTAGATACGAGGGCAAACATGGCGAACGCTAGGACACAGCAGACCACAGCAAAAGTCACAGACCCTTATAAACACACTATCAGTGTCCTTGTGATCTTAGCATATGTTCTGATCTCATATGTGATGTGTTAAATACGGTAAGTCTACTGATAACCTTTTTACATAGGAAAGTTTTAGTTTTAACGTTATGTCGACAATTATACGAAAGATAATAATCGTTAGGAAAAATAAAATGATCGAACTAGAGATAAACATAAAAGTAGGACAAAGAATCGATTGTGTTAAATATCGGTTTGTTAATGAGCAGTTATAAACTAGTTGAGTGTCCTGATATGACAATTCGGTGTGATGACCCACATGAAGTGTCCATGAGTGACACAATCATCGTTATCTTTATCTTCAAATGACCTTAATGACCTTCAAAAACACAAGAAATTTGTCATATCTAATTGTACAACTATACCAAAGGCGTTTGAATAGGATTTCGTTAGTTCAGTTTAATGTAGACCAAATGATGTTTGTTTTGTCGCTAGTCATACAATAAGGAATGTTAAGTGGGAAAAGAATGGAAGGTTAAAACACGTAAAAAAGGGACAAGATAAGAAATGAAGGAAACGGTCAAGATCTCAAGTGTTGCAATAGGAATAGTAGATCTATTTTGGTAGACGACACTGGAGTGAACCACTATTCTGAAGAGGGTCCACTTTAAAAAAATATTTCATTACTGCAAACCTTTCATGCTGTTATAAATACTTACTTCCCTATCTTGTATATTTAGCTTTTGTAAGTTGTACCTGTTACATAAGTCTCGTGTATCTTATTGTATGTTGTAAGAGGCGACTTATTGTGCGATTTTCAAACACCCTCACAACCACAACCACCGCCCTGCAAAATCGAAGGTTCTCGTCTTTGCCTTGTCTTGTGATGGTTTTATGAATTATGTTTCCCTATTGCAACGCTTCGAATCCAAACGATTCCTTTATTAGCTGTCTTCTTTTCCCTCTGGACATCAGTTCTCGTATGACACTGGTCCAACAAACACAACATGTTATAGCAAGCGAATTATAAAGTTGTTCTTTAGGTTGTATTTTGTAAACATAAGAAACACTTGGCTACAGATGATCAAAAACCACATTTGGTTAGCTATTAATAAACAAACTTCAGGTTCGATTATTTGTTTTATTCGTTTCTAGGCTACAGATACACAAATAAAAGTACATTTTAATTCAAATTTAGAGTTAAAAACAGTAAAATTAATTTTTATTTTAAAAATTGAATTAAACTGTTTTGTCCTTCTAAGGGCTAAGGGCCTACATTTTAACGCTAAGAAGAGGCTGAGCAAAATCCGAAGTAATGTAGAGAAAAGTTAAAATCTAGTTGAGTAATTTCGTAATTTTGATAAATAACTTTAGAATTACATCAAGTACACGTACCACTATTCAAATGAAGTTGGGATCAGTCTTTCTTCTCTTAATTTCAGCTTTTTCACGACACAACTGAACGTTGTCTGCCTAAGGGATAAACACTGTTCTTAAGCCTTGAGATACCAGTTATAAAACTGGTACTTATCAGTCCTTGTTGTTTGGCATTCTGTTGGATGCTGGTCAGCTTGTCCGATAGAAGTGTCTGCTTCAGTGTAGATGTCACAGTGTTTCAGTGTATTGACTCTTCAAAATGTCCGTTAGTGGTCGTATCATCCGTGAACATGGTTTATAAAAGATCTCGGTTGTTGTGTGGACGTAAAACCACAGATCAACCAATTTTCAAAAAAGGCTTTCTTTAAATTACCTTAATATGTTAATTACACGTAAACTACTCAATCTAAGTACCTAACTTAGCCTAAAAGATAGTTACCCTGCTTGATGGCCAATATTAAGTAAAAGTCAGTTATGTATTTAACGTGATTTGGATCTATCTTTTTTATCCCTATCGACCAAATGGGCACAAAGTAACTGGTTATTTATTGTTAGTATTATCCAAAACGTTACGAAAGGTTCCAAAATATCGTAAAAATGTGAATTCCAAGATACTTAAGGATTCCAAGAAAACTATACCAAAGAGTGGGTGAAACGAGAGTAATCTTTGTTGGATTCACTTTTGGAGTAAGGTAAATCAATTCGATTTATTATTTTTAAGAGAATGAACAGTTTAGAATTTAGAAGGAAAATAAAAGAAGTCTGAATTTTTTAATCCTGATATCGATTTAACACTTCATGAATTACATAAATATACATTTGTGCCTGCAGATAAAACATTCAATAACTTGATCCTTGTCTGCAGACATTTTTACATTTCATGCATACGAAAAAAAGACTTGCGTGATAACGAAGGACACCTTACCTACACATCCTCCAGTTCTTCCATAGAAGTACTGACTAGTCATGCTTTAGTATAACAATAATTTATATTGCTTATTATATTCATGAGCTTGTGGACCTTCCTCGTTCACAATGGATTCTTAGATTTCACAAGAGCCCCTATAAAGATCGGTTTATTGCTTGCTCATCTGGTTTATTTTTGCAGATTCCTTACATCCCTTAGTACTATCAAATAAGAGTTACAGTCTTCTTGTAAATATATTTTATTTTTCTAGCACCTATGAAAGTTACACTGTTTATCTGATGTTAAAGTCGCCAGTTACAAATGATAGTTCCTCCCCGGTAATTGGAATACATATATGCTAATAAATCGTATATGTCTATGTGTATGGTGTCGATCGATTTAACAATGATACAAAAATGACAATGGATATTTTCATGGGGATTGGTTTGGTTATACATTGTGATTGGCGACTTGACTGTAAACACGATGTAAGTAAATGGGTTGAGTGCGTGAGTTTGTCGGAAGCTGCTTTATATCAGTTAATATATGCCTCATTGTAACAGTGCGAAATAAGCCTACATCCAAAATACAGCAGAACGGACTTTTTCTCTAATTTTGGGTCAAGACCTTTTATTTAATATTTGACTCTAATATTAAGTTCACACTGATGTTCAATTCTTATATCTAGATAACGACAAATCAATATGACTGTTTCAGGAGTTCAAAAACTATCATTTTAACAAGCAGTGACGATAGGTTGTGCAGAAATATCTATGAAACAAGGTATATGTTTGCCATATTTATTTAGAATTCGAAATATAAAGTCGCATGTGGATTGAAAGAAAAGAATCAAATACAGTCAACGGCTCTCTAAGACCGTTGCAGAATATAGAGTAGACATGTTCAATAATGTATAATAGTCATGGAAGCCGTTCAGCTCCAACTCACAAAACAAAGTATTTGATAACCCGAGGGAAATATTATTCAGACGAAATGTTGTAAACATGAAAGTTTTTAAGTTTTTGTTTCAGCCCGGTAATAATTGGCTAGAGATTATCTATATAGGAGTTGAGATATATCGGGCTGATCTGTGTTACGTCCTGTCTACATACTAATGCTTTGTACAACGGAGTCAGTGTAGCGACTATATTGAGATTTTATTTTCAATTAAATGTGTTCATTTTTAATATAAACACACAAAAAAGATCGTACCGAAACCTAAGCCCCAATACAAAATTGACACCGACATTGCAGGCATTGGTGGGACACCATGTACAATACAAATAATCAGATGTTAGGATTTGTCAATTGTGCTATTGACGTTACGTATGGAAAGCGAGTGTATAAATAATAATAAAAAGTACAATATATTTGTATTTCATAGCTATGAAGGCCTTGCGCGCTTAGGATTTGAGGAATTTACATATTAAATGTGTAAGCGTAAAATCATAATTGGAGTTTAGTTCGATTTTGTTTTATGTTGCGTAACGTCTTTTCGTTTTTCTAAATGAAAATTTTCTGGTTAAAAGGATCAAAAATCCTAATAAACAAGGCACTGACATTAACTTCATGTGTAACACACAACAATTCACACGACCCTTTCTCCTTTGTGGATTGTTACTTGGTTGGAAACAGTACGGTCTAAATTTGATTTAATGGCTATTTCAGTTTCTCGGAGGCGTCATTGTTGTCTATATCATGTCGTTTGAAAACTATGTCTTCGGGTCATTAAGTGCCTTTTTCTGGGAAATGAAATTGAACTTTCCCCAGGGATACTTCATATAATTTAAAGATGTTTACTCGATATTCTGTCACGTCTTTAATGACGTGGAATATAGCGTTTGTCCTTTTCTTTCAGTCCCCATGCGAAATTATTTCTCAAATTAGAAATATATAGCAAACAAAGTTTTTGTTTTATAAACATTTCCACACCACCTATCTTCACTGCTTGTTAGGTTATTAATAATTGACAGATACTTGAAACTCTTCCATTGATCCAGTTGTCGTTACATCGACATACTTAATAACGAGAATAATAGCCCTTTCCATATCTTCAAACAATGT